TGTACAGTAGATGGTTGTCCTTCGCCAAAATACATTTCAAAATTGATCAATTTAGAATTTTTTAGTAATGATGATGATAATGATCATGAAAATTTTTATTCACTATCAGACTTTTTTGATTTTAAAATATTTATAATATATAATTTGTATTTGGTTTATTTAGTGTTATTGTGGTACATTTTACCGGGGAATTGGATTGAGGGCGTTAGATTGAGAAATAACAAAGTTTTAAAGTATAAAGAGAATGGATTCAAAACTTTAATTGTCACCTTTACATTATTATTAATTAGCTCTTATTTTTGGGGATATGAATTTTTATTGATAATTAGTGATAAATATATACAGTTTATGACATCATCAATAATAGTATCATTCATACTATCAGTGTTTGTTTACGTTAACAGCTTTAGAAATGATAAAGATTCAGTATTATTATCATTAGGTGGCAATTCTGGAAATATAATTTATGATTTTATGATTGGCAGAGAACTGAATCCAAGAATCCAAGATTTTGATATAAAATGTTTTGTAGAGCTGAGACCAGGATTGATTTGTTGGCTGTTGGTAAATATTTCAATGGCACTAAAACAATATGATGAATTGGGAACGCTGACATTTGGGATGTTGTTTATTTTGATTTTTCAAGGATGGTATTGTGTTGATTCATTGTACAACGAGGCAAATGTTCTTACAACAATGGATATTACAACTGATGGATTTGGTTGGATGTTGGCATTTGGAAATCTGAGTTGGTTGTCTTTCTTGTACCCATTACAATCTCGTTACATCTCTTTACATCCAAAAGATTTGTCAATATTTGAAATTGTCCTTGTTATGACACTTCAGCTTATTGGCTACTCAATATTTCGAGGTGCTAATAATGAAAAAGATTTGTTTAGGAAAAATCCAGATGATGAATACGTTAAATGTATGTATATATATAAGTGATTTAATCAATTGAAATATTGAATAGGTTGGTCAGTGATATGATTAAATATTTTAATATACATATATATATATATATATATATATATATATATAGATTTAGAATTTATTGAAACTGAAGCTGGATCTAAGTTAATAATCTCTGGTTGGTGGGGAATCTCTAGACACATAAATTATTTAGGTAAGTAGTATTTTATATCATTATATTTGAAGTTATATCTATATATACGATAAATAATAATATGATTGTATGATTATAATGTTAGGTGATTGGTTAATGGCTTGGGCTTGGTGCTTAACTTGTGGTAATAATACTAAATAATGAAAATTTTATCACTCACTAATAATAAACATGCTAATCAAATTGATATTTTTATTTAAATAGGATATGATGATATTTTTCCATATTTTTATGTGGCATATTTTGGTGTATTACTTATTCATAGAGAATTGCGAGACGAAGAAAAATGCAGAAAAAAGTATAAAAAAGATTGGGATAAATATTGTGAAATTGTTAGATGGAGAATTATACCTGGTAATAATTTTTTGAATATTCTTTACTATTCTTTAAAAATAAGTTATTAAATAATGAAATATAATGAAATTTTGTTTTTATCAACTTAATTTAAATAATGGGTGTTTATTAAACAAATCTCTTGATAAAAAAAAATTTAAATTAAAAATCCAAATATATTATTCCATTTTATCAAAAATTTAGATTTTGTTACACACTGATGTTTAACATGTTTTAATTCTTTCAA